GCCTATCAAAATGCAAAAAGAAAGCAAATTATATCACTGCCTTAATTTACCTTTGAAGAATACAGAACTTTATGCATAAGTACTACAGTGTTCTGCAGATAAGTTGCTAAAATATAGTTCAACTTTATTTCTCTATTTTGAGCATAACAAAAAATTACAAATATTTGATTTTTATACAGTACATCAAATCTACAAGCAGAAATTAACACAATTCATAATATCTATAGAAATGTAAAGATGTTTTTATCTTGAAAACCACCAAAATGCCTTATGTATCTGACTAAAACATACAATGATATAACTGATAGCAGCAGAGAAAAACTATGAAATAATTTTAAAGTATTTTAAATTATGTTAAGGCCTTACACTCTGAAAGCAAAAAGCAAGCTGTCAGAATGCTTTTCCAGAACATCAGAAATAAGACAGATCTGCTCTAGACTTCTGTAACTTTTATCCAAAATTGTAGAAGTTCTAGCAAAAGCAATTGAGAAATAAATAAATAAACAAACAGATAGTAAAAAGCACTTAGGCTGAACAGGAAGAAGTAAAATTATCTCCATTTGCAGATAAAATAATCTTATATATAAAAAAATCCTAAGAAATCCACTTAGAATCTATTAGAATTACTAAATGAGTTCAGCAAGGTTGCAGGATACAAGAACAATATGCAAAAGTCAATTTTATTTCTAAACTCTTCGATTTATTAAACTCAAAAGTGAAAACATGAAAACAATCCCATATACAGTATCATTGAAAAGTACAAAATATACAGGAATAAACTTAACAAAATAACTGTAAAACATAAACTCTAAAAACTATAAAACACTGTTTAAAGAAATTAAAGATCTAAATATGGAATGACATCCCATGTTCATGGAACAGAAGACTTAATATTGTTATGATGGCAATACTGCCCAAACTGATCTACAGATTCAAGACAACTACTATCAAAATCCTAGCTAGATTCTCTGCTGATTCTAAAATTAATATGGAAATTCAAGGGACCCAGAATAGGCAAAACAATCTTGGAAAAAAAGAATAAAGTTGAAAGAGTGATATTTCCCAATTTCAAAACTTACAACAAAACCATAGTAGTAAAGATTGTGTGTTTATTAACGTTAGGATAGACATACAGATCAATGGAATAGAATTGAAACTCCAGAAATAAAAACTTCACACTTAATGGCCAACTGATTTTTTAATAAGGATGCCAAAATAATTCAATGGGAAAACAATACTCTGCAAATGGTGACAGGGCAAGTGGATATGCGAAAGAATAAACTTGGACCCCTACTTCATACCATATACAAAAATTAACTCAAGAGGAACCAAAATCCTAAATATGAGCCAAAACTATAAAACTTAGAACAGAGGCATAAATTTTCATGACCTTGGATTAGGCAATGAATCCTTAGCTCTAACACCAAAAGCTGCATCAAACTTGACACTTGAAACATGATCGAAACTAGAATGAAAAAGGCAGACAGGCAACAATCTAGAGGACGACTATTCCAAGGAGAGGAAGCAGCACGAGCGAGAACCAAGATAGTGTTAGCTTAATACATTCAAAAGACAGAGAGATGAGATCAGGGAGGTAGGGAGAGGACTAATAGGCCAAGTGCAGTATATATGACAAAAGCCACATTACAACAGGGTCACAGCACTGCTGCAGGGGCAGCATTCACAGAGCAATCTAAGATGTGAAATGTGTCCATCCCCTGAGTATGGCAATGAAACAGCTCAAATTACAATGTATTTTGACTTACCTGACAGCTCTTCAAAATGACTCTCCCATAAGTCTCTTGCGTGTTTAATTAAACCGTATTCTTGTATTTTCAATAAATAATTATACCAGCCAATGATTTACATATACTGACTTAAGGTTTTATTTGCATCTGACCAATTGAGTAAATCCTCATAGCAATCCAAACCGTTTACATGGCTTCTTAATTATTGTGGGTTCAGTTCCAGACCACCACAGTAAAGTGAGTGTAACAACCAAGCGAGTCATAATCTTTCTGCTGATGAAGGGTCTTACCTTCAATTTGTAAAGAAAAATCTGTGAAGTTCAATAAAGCAAATCACAAAAAGACGAGCTATGCCTGTATTCTTTCCATTTTCATTTTTTCTTTCATTTCCTTTAATAGACAATATAGTAGCATAGTTCAAAATTCAAGAGTAAAGTCTCCCACCCTGCCACTGAGACACATACTTCCCATATTTGCAGGCAACAAATGCTATCAATTAGCTGTGTCTTCTTCCTGAGAAATTTGATATATCTTCAAGCAAAAAAAGCATAAATTCTTTTCTCTCTTTTACTGTATAAACTGGTAGCATACATCACTTATTTCCTGTATCTTACTTTTTTCACCTAATTAGCTTGGCAATTGTTTCATACCCGGGCATAAAGATTTTCCTTTTTTTTTTTTCTGGTCCTCACCTGAGGATATGGTTTTGTTCTTTTTTTTTAATTTTAGAGAGAGAAACATCAATAGGTTGCCTCCTGCACTCACCACAACTGGGGATCAAATCCACAACCTAGGTATGTGCCCTGACCGGGAATTGAACCCACAAACTTTTGGTGTACAGGATGACGTTCCAACCAACTGAACCACCCAGCCCCAGCCAATGTTTTCCATTTTTAATGGCTGCATAGTATTCCATTTTGTGGATACCATATTTTATTCTTTTATGTGTAACTTCTAATTAAAAAATGTGAGAAAAATGAAGTTCCTAAGGCAAGACAGGTTAACCTTGTATATATAAAAAGGCTTCAGAAAATATGTAAATCCTCTCAAATGGTGTAGATGTGCCCATATATATTTCTATGGGCATAAAATTTGCATACCATCCACATTATAAAAAGGGCATATGACTCAAAGAGAAGTTAAGAACCACTGCACTATAACTTGTATACAAATGGTCAATAAACATTTGTCGAACAAAATTTTATTCTAAGGTTTTGCTAATTTTTATGCTAGAGACAGGAAGACTAAATTAAATACCAATATAATCCAAATTTCTTCTCTACTTTATTGAACATGAATTGCTGTTTCCCATTAACAAAGAGCAAAACTAACCAATTTGACTCTTTTTCTTAGAAGGGTTTTATTTTTCATATGCACCATGTGAAAAGGAATCCTAAAGAAAAAAAAAAATAACCACAACTTAAAGTACCTTGATGAGCAGGTGAAAATAATCAAATGAAAGTTGACTATACAAGCTGCTGCTTACCATAACAGACAACAGCAGAGGCGTCTATGATGCTCCTTAAACTCTAGGTAATGTTCCATATAGAGTCCTTCCTGAGAAAATTAGATCATTGGTAGCATGCAGTGGTATGCCTACCGCATGCTAGGCACCAAAATGGAAGCTTTACACGTATTATCTTGTTTAATCCTCAAACTAATTAAGGCAGCTGTATTTCCCCACTTTCACAAGAAAGAAAATGGAGGCTTAAAGAATGTAAAGTTAAGCTATTGCCCCAAACCACAAAACTATTAAATTGCAGAGCAAGACTAAAACTCCTCATTCTCACCTTCAAGACTCCAGATCTCATCCACTTTCCACAATACCATAGTGCCTAAAGTTCAATGTAATTACGATCATTTTAGGGAGGCGGTGTAAACTAGTGATCAGAAACCCTAAGTTCTAATTCAACAATTTATTAGTTGTATGACAAATTGTTAAAACTCTGAAAGCCTTCTTTACCATCTGTAAAACTAGACTGCTATGAGGTTTAAATGAGAAAAGGTACATGAAACAAACAGCTCAGATACCTTAAGATACTTGAAAAGGTAGCTATAATCAATATTTTCTTTGTTTTTTTAACATTTTATTTGATTATTTTTAGAGAGAGGAAGGGAGGGATAAAGTGAGGGAAAGATAAATGTGTGGTTTCTTCTCCTGCGCCCCCTCCTGGGGACGTGGCCCTCCACCCAGGCATGTGCTGGTTCAACTGGCAATTGAACCAGGGACCCTTTGGTTGGCAGTCTGGCGCTCACTCCATTGAGACACACCAGTCAGAGCGTAGAGGATAAATATAGCTCTATTTTATCCTTCTTTCAATAGAAACAAAAGAGCTACAAGGTTTTCCAATTTGGCATAAAAAATTTTCACCCCCAGAATGCTGGCATTGTGACAAACGAAAGAATGATTGAAAGGTTATGTCTAATCAAGTAGATTCTGCCTTAATGAAACATCGTAAATTGCCCTTTAAATTAAAATATTTCAAACACAGACATATATCGATTGCCCTATCAGCGTTGATGTCTATTTTGACCACTGCATAATTATTTCACTCTTAAACTCTTCATACACAATTATGCACTCAGGCTTCTGGGTTTGATTTTTTTTTTTTTTAAGACTTTTAACATCAGGTGATAAGCGATTGCAGCTGTCAAGTGTATTACATCTGTTTCACTCACGGAGTCGTCCCCACCCACCCTCGCCCCCGGTAAACCATATTAACCCTTTGACTTCTATGAATTCAGCAAAACAACATAAAATATACTCCCCCATACCCTTGGTCTCAAAGTGCCTATATGATGAGCTCGTGAAGCTGTTAATGACAAAAGTTGAACACCTGAGATAACTTATTTATAAGAGAAAAGTTTGTTAGGTTCTCTCCCCTTGCAACCTAAAGATTTAACAGGATTCAAATGCTTCAGGCAGGGCGTAAACTGAGGTGTGGGGCAATGCAGAACGAGTAAATAACTTTACCGGCGCGCCCCAAAAATCACCTTCAAGACTCTCTTCCTTTCTCCCTTCCCTGGAGTGGAAAAGAGTCAATGGGCCGCGAAGCACCCAAATCCCTGAGCGCTGGCTGCCGCCGAGAGCTGGAGGCAAGGTCTGCGCCAACGCCGGGTCTGTGCCTTGCTCCCCTGGGAGCCACACACCGCCGTCCTCCCACACCCCTCCATCCCAAGAGTGGCCCGTCCACACCCGGCCTGCAAAGTCTCCCAAGCCCCAGAGCCGCTGTGTCTCCCCATGGGGCTCACCATCGCAGCCCAAGGATTAAAGCGCGGGCACGCAGGCCGGCGGGCTGGGGAATCCGTTACCGGGGATGGGGATCCACTCGCGCCAACAACTTCTCCGTCGAAGTGGAAGGAGGCGGAGGCAGCGGCGCCCGGTGATGACGTCAGGAGGCCCGCAGCCTCCCTCCGGCCGGGGCCCGAGGCGGGAAGTGCGACGTGGACGCCAGTGCCGCGCCGAATGCTGGCGTGCCGCAGCCATCGCGAGGAGCGACGGGACCGTGGCCCGCGCTGGGAGCTGCGCCTTCGGGTTTTGGCGGGGTTAGAGTTCTCGAGATTGGTTTCCTCGGAAAGGCGCGCTCCCCGGGTTCCTGCCAGCTTCCTGTCCGGGGTGGAGGCGGTGCATGCCCCACATTAGATTTCAAATGTTTCTACCCACAGCAAGAAATACATTTTAGATTAACCTTTCATACATATATTTAAATATCGCTCTGAAACAAGAGTTTCACCAAACAGTATTCACCGTGATCTTTTTGTTTTTAATGTTTGATCCACCGATTGGTTTTTTAAGTGGAGGTCCACAGATTGAAAATCATCAGGTTAAAGACCCATCTTCAGGTGTATAGTTTCAGAGCAAAAAAAAAAAAAAGGCCTAGTAAAATCACCTAGCCATCACCACCCACTCCATTTCATAAATGAAAAATATGAGGCCCAAACAACCTAAGGACTCCAGCTTTATTCCACAACTAAACCAGACTACGAACCTACGCCTCCTCATTCCCAAACCTGCGCTGCCAAGTCCCTGGAAGAGCAGTGGTGTGTGAAGCCCTGCCATCCACAAGGTGCATGGTCCTAGAAAAACAATGATCCAGGAAGCTTTTGGAGTAAACAAGTTTTATATTACTAGATAAGCAACGGGATTATGGAATGAAGTGTGACATCTGCATATAATTTTAAGAGAAAACATGAGCCCCAAAGGCGTTTAGTGGGAAAAGCCCTAGACTTTCAAATCCTTAACCAGCTACCTCTGTTAGGACTAGCACTTTGTCACACCAGTATCTCTACAGTGAAAGAGAGCAAAGCCTCTGCAACACAACAAATGGCTATGCATGGAGAGCTGGTATTTATCAAGCCCCTGCTGTAATCTGTGTTATGCTTACAATTATGAACTCTCCTAGTTTTGGCTCACTTAATCCCCACAATGACACTGGCTACTATTATTTTCCCCAGTTTACAAAGGAGTAAACTGTTACTCCCGAACAGGGCCTCATTGTATGGGTCCCCTTTGAAGCCAATATGCTAAGGTTCCCAGCCCTGCCACTTGGCTGTTGGATGACCATGGGCAATTTACTGTGCCTAAGTTTGCTCATCTGTAAAATACGGATAATAGTACTACTTCATAGGCTTGTTCCTGGCACATAAGCAGGTAATAATTTTTAATTCAGCTATCATTATCACTATTAATTATACAAAGCTAGGTATTATCAAGGGAGATAATTCCAAAAAATGAATTTAACTACTTCCCAATTTTGCTTGGAAATACTTGATTGGGGACAAGAGGGGTCATTACATCCTCTGTTGAGAGATTAATAAAAAACTATGAACCTACTCCCCAGAAAAATATACATAGCAGACACATCACCTAAATCTTTGCCGATATGAATCCATACATGAATCCACATGTGAATCCAAATACGAATCCATATATGGAAATGTCCTCACATCAATTATGTAAACGGGCCTGGCTGAGAGGAAGTTGCACTTCCCACTCTAGAAAAAAAAGGGGAGCCAGAAAACAAGGACACAATGAGAACCGCTCACAAAACCTTCCCCAAGAGAGGGGGCTACTCCCTACCTGGGCCAGAGTGGTTAGCAGACAATATTTGAAGATCATAGCTGGAGACACCCCCAAATTTGATGAAAAACATGAGTACTAACATTCAAGAAGCTCAGAAAATTCCAGCTAGGATAAATCCAAAGCCATCTATACAAAAACTCAAATTTTGAACAAATTCATTTCTGAAGTATAATTATAGCTGGTGCCCTATAAATAATTCTCCCCCTGATGGAGCTAACATTGTTATCACTGCCCTGTATGCCTTCAACATACTAATAATAACACAGCAAGGAAATCACACGTTACAACAACATTAAACCATTGCTTACACGAAAAAATACTTTCATAATAGATTTTTCTGTCCCTTCGCCTATCCACCAAGCAAACACATAATCATTTTGGGAACTGTGTACTGTAAATATAGCTTAATAAAAACATTAGATTGTGAATATAATAAGAGAAAGTAAAAATTCTTATTTACCAAAAAGGTATGCAAAAACCAACAATTAATTCATGCTTTCATGTATAAGAGCACGGTTTTTTTCAAACTTTTATAGGGTAGGAATTACCCATTTGTGTTAGCAACTAAAATACTGGTGGGACTCCAAATAAAAATAACAAACCTATTTGCCCCCTCAGTAGTGATTTCACTACTTATATTAATTTTGCAAATCATAGCAATCACATGTAATATTTACATAAGAAAGATTTATTCACATTACATAGAAACTAATTTCATATGCCTTAATCACTACCATAATCCCCAAAATAATATTCATCAACTTTGCATTTGCTGGTTCCTTTACCTGGAACCCATATATGAATCTTTGCCTATAATTTCAGAGGACCTAAACCAATTTATACCGTTTATTGCATTTAAATAAGCTGTATATTAAAAGTTTTTATTTTATTTTTAATTATAGTGTACATTAAACATTATTTTGTATTAATTTCAGGTGTATGGCATAGTATAAGAAGTTTTACATGTCTTTTACATTATAGCACTTTAACTTTTACATTTCTTTATTAACATTTTGAAGCCTTCCTTGAATTTTGGTGAGACTTTGATCAGAAGCCTGTCACTTCCAGAAAGATACTGAATTTAATTTGTAAGATTGTTTTCTTTCTTTTGTAACAATTTGTTAAATTGTATTTTTATTTTTGATTTTAGAGAGGGGAAGGGACAGAGAAAGAGAAGGAGCGACACATCACTGTGGGAGAGAAATATCAACTTACTGCCTTCCACACACGTCCCCACGAGGGCCAGCCTCAACACCCAGGCGTGTGTCCTGACCAGGGATTGAACCAGCAACCTTCCAATTTCCAGGACGACACCCAACCAACTGAGCCACACCAGTCAGGGCTGGATTGTTTATTTTAGGAGCATTTGCTTGGAAATATTGTTTCTCAGAAATATTAAAAATGGCTGCATATGCTTTGATACTCCTCACCTGAACCTGGGCTGGCCTGTGACTGATTTGACCAAAGAAGTGGTGGATACAATATTCTGCCAGCTCCGGACATTTGCTTTAAGAAGATAGCAACTCCCAAGGGGCCAGCTGAGCCCAGGTTTATAGCCCTCTCCCCCAGGTGCCAGAACTCAAAGTGAAGCCATCCTATACCCACCTTACCAGGTGCTGGTGGAATTCCACTAAGGGCCCCCAGCCAACACTACGCAGAACACAAAAATCACCCAGCCAAGGCCTACCTAAACACTCTGACCCACGGCAGTGTGAGCATAGTAAAATGACTGCTCTTTTAAGGTACGAAGTTTTGGTGTAGTTGGCGTGAAGTAATAGGTAGCCAGAATAGAAATATTTTAAAGGACTCAAAAATAAGCATGAACAGAATACTGATGTTTGTGTTCTTTACTGTGGTGATTTTTATTGATGCACCATTCAACGACTATTTGTTGATCATCTGCAATGTGTTAGCACTTCTGTGTGTGCATGCTGGGAACCCACTGCAAAAGAGGCAGACAGTCCTAGCTCTCTTGAAGTTTATACTTTTGAGAGAAAAAGAAAAATAAGTACATACACAAAAATAAATTCTGTACTTTCAGATAAGGTTAAGTGCTGTAAAGAAAATAAAGCAGCATAATGAGATAGAGGATAATTGGGGAGAGGATTGTGGAAATAATGTAAATAAGTTATCAAAAAAACCTCTAAGAAGGAGATGTTGAACTAAGACATGAATGTTGAGAAGGGGACAGCAAGTATAAAGACCCTCAGATGGTATGAGTTAAACATATTCCAAAAAAAGCAAGAAAGCCAATTATATGACTGGTGCATATAATTCATGATTGAGTCTATTATTCACTTTGTTTCTACATAATAACTGCATCTGGATTTTAACCCTTACTTGTCACTATTCTGTAATAGTGTCTAGCTTGAATTTCTTCCAGATGAAAGACCAGCCTGTGGTACACCTTCCATTTCTATATAGCCCTTCTTTGATGAGAATAAAATGATAATAGGTTGTAACTACTTTCATGTCTTCGTCTTAATTGAATGACTGCAATAATGCATCCCCAGGAAAAGGAGGATGCACAAAGAATATAACAAACTAGGGCTGCTGATTTTTTTATAATTTTTCAGAGAGGAACAGAAAAGTCAGTTATTGGCAATATAAAACATTAGCTAACAAAGATTCCTTGCATGTTTTATTAAAAGTATTTTGATCAAAAGTTTTCCTCATGCTCTTCTTAGTCATTAATTCAGCTCTCCTTAATATAAATATCTATCATCACCCTGGCCAGTGTGGCTCAGTGGATTGAGTCGAAGGGTTGCAGGCCAGCTGCCCAGTGGGGGACGTGCAAGAGACTTTCAATCAATGTGTCTCATGCATATTGCTGTTTCTCTCCCTCTCTCCTTCCTTTCCCCTCTCTCTAAAAGTTAAATAAATAAAATCTTTGAAGAATTTTTTAAATATTAATTTTAAAAATACATATTTATCAAACCAGTTGATGAATTAATAAAACGGGTATTATTTGGTAACAGGTAATACAGCACTGCCATTTCAAGAATTAAGGATATCTATTGAAATCCTAAAATATTTTTTTTTCTTTTAATAATCATTTGAAACCTAGCACAGAGAAGACAATTTTTAAAGGACACATTGGACCTGACTAGCTGATGCTCACTGGCTTTATCTCAATCCTTTAAAGAAAAGGCTTCGGCAAAGCCAGTTTTGTGGAAGTCAGGCATCTTTTTCCTTTCCCTACTTAGGGATAGATCACTGATGGAAGAATCGTTTACATTCCATGAAGAACTTTTTACTCCCAAAGTTAGAATATTGACATTAACATCTTTACTAGT